CGTAGTACGTTCGGTTAGTAGTATAGTTTAGTTAGTATAAGGTGTCGTTCGGTCACCTTTTCTTTTTTTTAGGAACAACCGTTTGGTAATTCCTTTTGTAAACCGTTCGGTCACTTTAGTATTGTTGTATAAGTCAAATTTGAACTCTTACTGTTTATGGCCGTTCGGTCAGAACCGCACGTTTTCTTTAATATTAAGACTGAACTGATTTATTATTAACTTTAATCAATTCTATTATATGATTTTATTGTTGTAGTTTTGGGATGTTACACCTTAAATCTAGAAATGTAGTGTCTTGATCTCCTTCCAAATCCAAAATCTCTCCACTTCTCCTCTCCCAGATTTGCAGCAACTCTTCCAATCTGCAAAGTCCCCCAAACTCTTTGAATCTACGAACTCTTCCCTTTAAGAAGAAGAAATTGTGCACTCCTCAGCTTCTCCCTTCCCTTCTTAGTGTTGTGCCCACTAATGATGGAGATGATGGTGTTTCTTGGTGGTTGGAGTACTTCAAAGTGGAGTGACCCACCACCATCTGCTGCTGCCCACTTTTGCTGAACGTGCAGCCGCCCCCTCCATTTCCTTTTCTAAAAAAAATATAAGGAACGTGCGGTTCCTTACAAACATAGGTAAACAATTCATGTTGATTGTAACATCCCATAAATACAGTAATAAACCATACAATAGAATAACTTAGACTACACCCTCGCATGAAACCAAAACGTGGTTTGCATGTAACAAAGAACGAACGACTAAGGGGAGAAGACTTACCAGTTCAAACTTGAAACTCAATTGGTTCAAGATGAAGCTTGGGACGCCGGGAATGCTTCTACAGTGCCTGAACGGTGATCGGAGTAGAGAAGGGTAAGTTACAGTAGAGAGAAGGGAGGGTTTTCTAGAGAGAAGAAGAAGGAAAATGAAAGATCAGATTTTGGAAAGAGGGTGCATGCAGAGGAGAGTGGGTAGGGTTTTCAGAAAAAATCATTTTTTGTTTACCCCACGTCCAAACGGACGTACACTCTCCTGTCGACACTTGCCATCCACTAAGTGATTTTCGAAACTTCGATTCTTGACACCTGGCGTTTGCGCAGAAGGGTTTGGGTGCGTTTTTAATGAGTATGAGCAGGGGGTTTTGGGTGCATTTAACGAGGCCTGACATTCCCCCTAACTACAAAAATTTTCGTCCTCAAAAATTAAAACTCACTCGGAAATAGGTGAGGGTACAAGTCCTTCATGGCATCCTCCACTTCCCATGTAGAGTCGCTCGTCTTCTCGTCCCACACCACTTTCACCAATTTGATCGCTTTCTGTTTGTAGTACTTGGTGCGGCTGTCTTCAACGTGAACTGTCTGCATCTCCAACGTTCGGTCTTGACGAAGACGAACGTCCTCTAACTCCAGTATGTGAGAGGGGTCGGCTATGTACTTCCGGAGTTGGGAAACGTGGAATACTGGATGAAGGTTGGACAGTTGGGGAGGCAATGATAGCTCGTACGCTACTGGTCCGATCTTCCTTAAAATTTGGTAAGGCCCAACGAACTTGGGAGATAGCTTCTTGGGTCGAACAGCTCTGCCTACTCCAATGGTCGGATTCAGCCTAAGGAAAACGTGATCTCCTGCATTGAACTCCAACGGCCTTCTTCTTTTATCCACGTAGGACTTTTGTCTGCTCCTCGACGTCTTCAGCCTTTCTTGGATCAATCTCACCTTCTCGGTCGTCTGTTGGATGAGTTCGGGTCCCGTTAATACTTTCTCTCCTTCTTGGAACCAACACAACAGCGTGCGGCACTTCCTTCCGTAGAGAGCTTCAAACGGCGCCATTCCGATGCTTGACTGAAAGCTGTTGTTGTAGGTGAATTCCACTAGCGGCAGAATCTCATCCCATACGCCCATATGATCTAGGACTCACGTCCTCAATAAGTCTTCAAGCGTTTGGATGGTTCTCTCAGATTGACTGTCCGTTTGAGGATGATAGGCTGAACTCATTTGTAGTTTGTTGCCCAACTCACTTTGCAGAGATTGCCCAAACCGAGAAGTGAACCTTGTGTCTCGGTTGGAAATGATACTAGACAGCACTCCGTGCAGGCGAACAATCTCGTTGATATAAAGTTGTGCAAGCTTCGTCATGGACATCTTCAGATTAACGGCTAAGAAGTGAGCGCTCTTTGTCAGTCGATCTACTATCACCCAAATGGAATCGTGATTCTTTACCGTGCGTGGTAAGTGAGTCACGAAATCCATCAAAATGCTGTCCCACTTCCATTCAGGAATCTCAAGTTGTTGAAGTAGACCGCCCGACCTTTGGTGTTCAGCCTTCGCTCGTTGACAAGTTAAGCATGATGCTACGAAACGAGCGATATCATTCTTCATTCCCGGCCACCAAAAGGATTTCCTGAGATCTTGATACATCTTAGTCATGCCAGGGTGCATGCTAAGACGACTTTGGTGTCCTTCCTCCAGGATTATTCTCTTAAGCTCTCCGTCGTTGGGAATGCACGTCCTACCCATATAGCGTAAGAGGCCGTCCGTTCCAGTGTTGAAATGTTTGGCCTGATTCGTACTGAGCGCGCTAAAAATCTTCATCAATTCTTCATCGGCCGCCTGCTTCACTCTGATAAGATCGAAGACGTTGCTGGATATTCTAAGGTTACAGCACTTAATACTGCCCCGGTTCCAAGTCGAACTGTAACCTTAGATCTCTAAAGCTCTCCACCAAACTTAATTCTCGAACCATCATGGACGAGACATGCACCACCTTTCTGTTCAACGCGTCCGCTACTACGTTCGCTTTCCCTGGATGGTAGAGTAACTCAAAATCGTAGTCCTTCAAGAACTCAAGCCACCTCCTCTGCCTCATATTCAACTCCTNATCACCCGGGTGCGCGAACGTCGTAGCTACACAGAATTCATACAGTCCGGACAGTCAGTCTAGTATTAGGGTTTGATTGAATCTTATGTTGGAATGCTTTTGATATGTTTGTATGTGAGAAATGTATGTTATTACTTGAATTAAATTACATAAGCTTACCCTGTGTTTTTCCTTGTGTTGTCTCGTTTATACGTCCGTCCTTGTCTTTGCAATGATCATCCGTGTGGATGTGAGCAGAAGGAGACGCACTACTGGAAGAGGCGCTGGAAGAACAACATTTGGAGGAAGAGAACCTCGTGGAAGTTGAAGTTAAGGCCGAACCGTAGTACGTTCGGTTAGTAGTATAGTTTAGTTAGTATAAGGTGTCGTTCGGTCACCTTTTCTTTTTTTTAGGAACAACCGTTTGGTAATTCCTTTTGTAAACCGTTCGGTCACTTTAGTATTGTTGTATAAGTCAAATTTGAACTCTTACTGTTTATGGCCGTTCGGTCAGAACCGCACGTTTTCTTTAATATTAAGACTGAACTGATTTATTATTAACTTTAATCAATTCTATTATATGATTTTATTGTTGTAGTTTTGGGATGTTACACCTTAAATCTAGAAATGTAGTGTCTTGATCTCCTTCCAAATCCAAAATCTCTCCACTTCTCCTCTCCCAGATTTGCAGCAACTCTTCCAATCTGCAAAGTCCCCCAAACTCTTTGAATCTACGAACTCTTCCCTTTAAGAAGAAGAAATTGTGCACTCCTCAGCTTCTCCCTTCCCTTCTTAGTGTTGTGCCCACTAATGATGGAGATGATGGTGTTTCTTGGTGGTTGGAGTACTTCAAAGTGGAGTGACCCACCACCATCTGCTGCTGCCCACTTTTGCTGAACGTGCAGCCGCCCCCTCCATTTCCTTTTCTAAAAAAAATATAAGGAACGTGCGGTTCCTTACAAACATAGGTAAACAATTCATGTTGATTGTAACATCCCATAAATACAGTAATAAACCATACAATAGAATAACTTAGACTACACCCTCGCATGAAACCAAAACGTGGTTTGCATGTAACAAAGAACGAACGACTAAGGGGAGAAGACTTACCAGTTCAAACTTGNTGACTTGAAATGGGGTCCTCCACATTGAAAACATCTGACTGCCCCATGCTGTCCAGACTGCCCGGCAACAACCATAGATTGAGAATTTGATGGCTGTGCTGGACGAGCATACGGTGTCCTACCTCGATTCAGATTTGTTCTGGACAGAATCGGTCCCCTAGTTGTTTGTTGCTGCTTCTTCTGCTGCTCCACTTCAGCCACATTCTTTTCCAATATTTTGGCCCTCTCCACCATTGTAGGAAACGACTTAATACAAAGGCTGGATATCAGCACTTTCAGATCACTCCTCAGCCCATTCTTAAACTTTCGACACTGCCACTCTTCACTGGTAGCCATGGTGTTAAATCGTACTAAATGCTTGAACTTGTTGGTGTACTCCGAGACGGACATTCCACCTTGTACCAACTGCAGAAACTCCACTTCTTTGGCGAAACGGACGCTATCTGGGAAGTATTCTTCATAAAACTTGCTCCTGAATACTTCCCACGAGATGGGACTTTGAGCGTCCGTCAATATCGCCTTCATGCTCGTCCACCAGTGACTGGCCTCTCCAGTCAGCAGATACTCAGTGAACGCCAACCTGTTGTCGTTCGGACACCTCTTGGCGTTGTAGATCCGCTCCATGTCCCTTAGCCACTGATCTGCCTCATCCGGTAGACACTTCCCATCAAACTTGGCCGGATGATGCTGCAGAAAATTCTCTAAACTCCACTCTGCCTGGTGGGGAGCGTTGGAAGAGGACGCTCCCGATGTGTTCCTAGTAGTTGTAATGATTTCCATCAATTGCCTCTGGGTTGCTTCAGAGTTGGCGCGAGCTGCTTCCAAACTCTGTAAAGCAGCCGCGTTCTGCTGCATCAAGACAGCGTTCTGCTGCTGTAGCCTTTCTATTACTGATTCCAACAACCTGGTGTTGTCGGACACATCACGTTCGGTGGTTTGGGGTTGAGGAGGAGGTCTGGGTGCCATTTGTTCTCTGAAAAAAAAATCAGAGAAAAACGGTCGTTAGTTAAGTTCAAAGAGTTTAGAATAACTCATCAAACGGACATTAAGTACACAACAAAAACATAGTGCACTCATAACCTACAATGTCCTTAAAAGAACAAAACTGCTCTGATACCACTAATGTAACATCCCATAAATACAGTAATAAACCATATAATAGAATAATCACATTAATTAACGTATCG